CAGATGTTTTTTGACCAAAGTTCAAAAATAAATCTTTCTTATAGAGTACGATCTGAATGCAGAGGCTGTTTCTTACAGAGGTTTCTAAAGCTAAAAATAACTGCTTTCTCCGTGCTCACCTGGCGGGGACATTGAAAGACAAAACATTAAACAACAACAGACAAGAAAAGTCCTTACAAGCTAAAATGAAGCTCTGGGAATGATGAGAACATCTCTTTGAAAGGATGCATGCTGAAAGCAGCTCTGATAATGACACAGAAATCGTCCTTCACCTTCAGGTGGCACTGGCCAGCATTGCATGTTTGTGACATTGCAGTCAGTGGCCATGGGAGGTAATCTCCTGTCGCAGACATCGTTTAGGTTACCACTACTGGATCACACAGGCAAAAGCACTCAGGCAAATGGTATCTTTTATGTGCTAGTATGTTCTATTCAGGGCTTAGTGAGACTCAGAAAAACTGGACAAAATTGTTATAATTTTTTTAAAAAAAATCTTCTGAATACTTGTACAGAATTTTGGAAGTAAAATTTCCACTGATCCACTCTACAACTCACTGTCATGAACAGGTTTCTCATTTTCTTTGTTCTAGACAAATTAAGGCCGGGCTATCGATCTAAGTGGCTCCAATGAGGATAAAAGTGAAAGAGATTCAGCTTCCCAGAGTCCAGAATGTTCAGTCTGAAACTAGCTGTCTAAGTATTTTTCAAAAGTCTCCTAGAGGACCTGAAAACACAAATATTTCCTAAGGCTTCTTAAGTATTTGACGGCATTAAAAAACGCTCAAAATATTACCCAGTCTTTTCCTCCCACCCACATCCTCTCCCCTAGAAGAGAGAAGAAGCAACAATCCTTGCCATAATAATCATATTTGGGTGGGCACCGCTGGCTAATTATAATACAATGGACTATTTTCAGCTTCCTAAAAATAAGGGAAAAACTCATCGAGTGCTGGGAATGGTTGTGTAAGGGCACCACATGGACCATATGACACCCACAAGAAATAAACGTGGAAAACATTTCAATCACATGAAAAGCAGAGAGCGAGGATGAAGAAAAACAAGTTAAATAGAAACATGCCATGGGAGTGACATAACTGGTCCAAACTTCCAGTGATGCTGATGTGATCTATTCTGTGTCAGTTCTCATGAAGAACAGCAAGTGCCATGCAGGTTTGCATAGAAATAAAAGGAAAACAAAATACAAAAACGTTTTGAGACAAGTGCTTAATATGTAGTCCAGGCTGGCTTTGAACTTAATATCCTCCTACCTCTCCCTCCCAAGCACTGAGATTACAAGCACGTACTACTATGCCTGGTCCCTAAATAAAATCTTTTAAGAAATGTTGTTACTTGTATCTTTTAAATTAAAGCCATTTGGATTTCACCAAATATGAGACTTAAAAATATCCGATGGTAGAAACAGAAGTTATTTTAAAATCAAGTTTGGGGGAAAATATGGAACTACTTGCTGTAACACACCGGGCATGAGATTAGGATGAGGAGACAGTACTTAGAACTGCTCTACAACCAGGACTGTGCAGTGGGGAGAGTCAGACTCATCTGTAAACTACAGGGTAGAGCCAGACGGCCTCTAGCGCCTCATGTGGAGCCACCAGTTCAGGACTTTATTGTTCCTAGTGAACTCTGAGGTTGCACCAGTCTGCAGAGAACCTCACCCACACCATGGCTGCAGGTGGAAGGCGGCACAGGCCGCGGCCTGAAGCCTTAAGGACTTCTGTGGCACTAAGTTCCATGGCACTAGTCCCTTCCTTGTGTCAGCACAGTGTTCATGACCACACAGATTCGTCCTCCTCCTGCATTTCTCTGGTCCCACCAGCCTCCTGCTCTCCCGCATTACTTATTCTGTCTTCAGTCCTCTGGCCTCATTCTAGCTGGCTGCCTGGCCTTTGCTCTGCAACGTGCAGAGCCATCGGGTGGAGCCTTCCTGATTTCTCCCCTCTCCTCTCCCGAATTCTGCCCCTGTGCCAACACACTCCTTTCCTCCATGTCGGTAGACAACATGCCTCTACTGCCACCCAGATCACCATATATAATGCCACTTCTCTGCTCAATTCCCCCATCACCCTCTTTCTGCACAGGGACAGAGTTCAAAGTCCCTATGGGAGTCATTGAGGTCCACTTTCTCCCCACTACCCCAGCCCCCATCCTTGTTCTACCACTTAACCAGTTTTTCTTGCTCCTTCTGGCTCTCCTAGCTGTGATCTGGAAAGAGACTCAGCAAGCCACAACATCAGGGCCTTGGCTGTGATATCATGTGTGGCTGGTGGGTCCCAAGGCGCACTGCTTTGCTCCATTCAGGTCTGCTGAGAATCTCCTTCCAAGAGCCTTGTCATACAAACAGCACATCTGCAAACCACGCCACACTCTCTTTAGCCCACCCCACCCCATTCTCCAAAGCTATTATCTACCTGGGCGAGACCACCTATTGGCCCACACTATACTGTAAGTTCTACCACAGTGGGGCTCTCTTGGTTCTGTGCACTCCTTCAATCAACCTGGGGTCTCTGACAGGTGTAGGCACTCATATTTATTCAATGTTCTGATTCATTTCACCAATGTTAACCATTTAAGAAATTAAAGTTGGAGAGAATTTGGTACTGTTGCAGACAATCAAGGCATTATAAATATAGATAATATATGCTTCCCAGTTGTGGATGGCTAAATTAGAAAAATAATAAGTGGTACATGCATGCCCAGAGAAACGTAGAGCACAGCAAAGTCCGACAGGGATGCTGTGTTCCTGACAGGCATCGGCCTTGACGGCAATAATCCAATGCTCTCACACTTCAGAGGCCAATTTCCTTCTGGTGATTTCTCCCTATTCATCCTGAGTGGGCAGAATCACACAAGTCATGGTGATTTAGATTCAGTCAATCAGTTTTCTGTCAGCGGGACAACTCCAGTGGGCCCATGAAGTGCAGTTTTCACGCTTGGGGGTCCATTCACTGCTGGACAATTATGAGACCAAATACAATCTTCCCAAAAGATGCTGAGGACACACAACTCTAAGAAAACTCACAGCAGAGCAGTCCTGTTTATGAGGAACAATGTTAGTACGTGCCACTGTGGGTCGAGTCTTAAGTGGCCGTGTCTTCTCTCATTAGCCTTCATGTGAGGACAGCAGCTATAAGCTTTGTTGTAAATGAACTAGGGGTGACCCGGTAGTAAGCAGAGCAGAGCATAAAGCTATAAAGGCCAAGGCACATCCTATTTCTGTTTGATAAGTAAAGAGCAATGCCCAAGGCTAGGATGACTTTGGGGAGGCAGGCCCTCTTTCCTGGTTGGCGGGAATATACTGCACAAATTTCCTGGGGGTACAGTGTGACCTAAAGTCATCAGGAGCCTGAAGAGTGATTGTAACCTTTGACCTAGTGATTCCATTTCTAGGCCTTTTTCCTAAGGAAGTAATCAAAGATAAGGACAAAGATTTATGTGCAAGGATGTTCAAAATCTGGAAGCAACTAAATGAACAAAAATAGAAAAATGCCTAAATAAATAGTAACGGGTCTTAGAATATAATTCATATATTACAGTAAGTTTTTGTAAACAAGTAAGTGCGGGATATAAAGGTTAATTTGTATCTGAAACCATATGTGTGTGTGTGTGTGTGT